CGGCCCTGCAGGCCAGCAAGGGAAGAGGCTGGGCAGCACAAGGCTGCCACCTGGTGGCAGCGCCGCCCAATGACATGGCTGTGATGCGTCCGCCCAGCGGCCAGCCTCGGGGAGACCTCAGACTGGGCGGCCACCGGCCAGCCCGTCCCCTCTGACTCTCTAGGATCAAACTGACAGAGGGCTGGGGGTGTCAGGCCAGAACTGGAATCTGCCCAGAAGCCGCAGCTCACAAGGGAAACCAGGCCCACAGAGAAACCCACCAAACTCCCCACCGGGATGCTTGCACAAACGCCTGACGGGGGAAGGGCATGGTGGGCACGGGGGTCCTAAGGCCGCAGGGAGCTCCAGCCCCCTACACTACTGCCCCGGAGCTCCTTGGGAAACACCCCCAGAGGTGCCCGAGGTGCGAGCAAGGTCAGCGGGGATACCGGAGGGCATGGCCCTGCAGGGGCGCCAGGTTTAACAGAGCACAGAGGACGGAGCCCTTGAACGCGGGTCTGACCTACAAACAGACGCGTTCTCTCCGGGCCCTGACCCAATGACCAGCAAGATCTTTATCCAGGCGGGTGAGGGCAGGTCTCCCCAGGTCCCCTCCCCCTGGGTGACTCATCAGTGGGCCCCCGAGACAGCTAGGTACAAGTCCAAAGAAGCCCCGCTTGGTCATAGATGCGAGCACTGAGGCCCAAATGGAGCCCCGCCCCCACCGCCTACACACTGGCGTCCAGGGCTGGGCCCCGTGCGGAGGACAGCGCCACACACACCTCCACGGCTGCCTTTATTGTCCCCAGCCCAGACAGGTCCCTCAGCCCGCCCCGCCACCCACCAGGCTTTAGCTCAGCCGCCTCATCCCCACAGAGCAGGCTGAGTGCGGGGGTGCCAGTCCCGCCCTTCGCCGAGGCCTGCGGGAGGCTCCCGGGGCCTCTGGTTTCTGCCCAGCATCCTGCACAGTCCTGTCTGGGTCAAGGGCCGAGGCGGCGTCGGGCTGAGGAGCAAGCGAGGCAGGACCCATGGGAGCTCTCAAAGTCAAAGCCGGAAGGGGGACCAGTGGAGTGCACTGGGAGGTGGATGGGCCCACGGGGCTGCCGGATCCCGATCGGTCCATGGGAGTGGGTTCTGTCTCTTGTCCTCTTCCCGGGGCTTCTGGAAACGCCGCCTTCCTGACCTGAGCATCTGGAGGGGAAGGGCAGGGGGTGAGACCCCGTGTGCCTGGGGTCCACCCTGTAAGTGACGAGCAGAGGCCTCACCTGTCCAGGCCCTCCACGGTGGTCCACCAAGGCCCACCTCCCCCAGCTGCTGGGCCCTACCAGACGGCCCACCTGAGGAGGAGAGGTCCCCCAGCCAGAGGGGATCCAAGACCCCACCAATAGCTCCCCTAGGGGCCTGGAAAATCACAACTATCCCCTGGCCTCTCGGCCTCGTGTCCACACCCCTCGCCCCCAACACATTCATGCGGGGTTGGACAGGCCTTCACTCCTGCTCCGGCCCTGTTGTGGGCTCTGTGCCCAGTGGCCCCCGATACTCCTCTGGGGGCTGGGGCCACAGAGGCCATCCCCAGTGACGAGACAAGAGCCCCTGGAACTCGAGGGGGGGCTGCACTACCATCTCAGAGTCCGTGTCTCAAAGACGATCTCCTCATCGCTGTCCAGCGATACCATCTCCGTAGGGTCGTCGGTGTCGGCCAGAAGGCCATACCTCCTCCGCTGTGGCTTCTTCAACCTGCAAGCAGGGAAGGCAAGCTCAGTGGCCACACGGGGGTGTGTCCGGGAGTGGGGGTGCCTCACACCCTGTCCTGCTTCCCACCTTCCCTGTGACCAGCCTCCTCGGCCAGACCCTCCTCAAAGCCTTGCTACCAAGCTTCCTAGTCTGTGTTTCTTTTGGGTCCTAACAACCAGTGACTCTTCATGGCTCTGATGGTCCTCATGGCTCAGGCAGAAGCCCCGCTTCCGACCCCCAGCCAGGAGCAAGGAAGGGAGAAGCCCCACTCCCGACCCCCAGCCAGGAGCAGGGAAGGGAGAAGCCCTTCTCCCGACCCCGGCCAGCAGCAAGGAAGGGAGAAGCCCCGCTCCCGACCCCCGGCCAGGAGCAGGGAAGGGAGAAGCCCCGCTCCCGACCCCCGGCCAGAGGCAGGGAAGGGAGAAGCCCTGCTCCCGACCCCGGCCAGCAGCAGGGAAGGGAGAAGCCC